TTTAGCGGAATGTTTATTGGCATCGTTCGAAAAAAGATTTCAAACATCTCTAAATCTCAGTACTCCCGAATCAGAAGCCGCAGCTATAGCCGCCCTATCCTATCCAGCATTTAAAAACAAATGGTTAAGGTGCATACCTGTAGAAAAACATGAAAAAATTTTAAGAGCCTTCAAGACAATTGTTGCTAAACAAATGGATGCATTACTAATACAATCGCAATCTAATCGACCTCAGCAATCGTGTTCTTTTAGCGACTATTTCGATTTTGGTTCTCCTTCGAGGAATGAAGAAGCAGAAGCCACATCTGGATGCCGAGCTCTTAATACTTCAATATTTTAAGGATCCATCGCAAGATCTATTACTGCTTCATAGATACCCATCAATTAAAAATGTCTTCATTGAATACAATACACCACTGGCATCGTCCGCACCTGTGGAAAAGATGTTCTCTTATGCTACCATGACCAATCTTCCAAAATCAAACAAACTTAGTGACAAGATGTTTGAAAGAAGAGTTTTCATAAAAACTAATTTAAAGTTAAATGATAACTAATAATATAAATCTATTATCAGTCAATATAACTCTATTAAATTAATTAGTGATGAATTAAAAATATTCTTTCTTTAATTGTTTTTTTTTTGGGCATTCAATCAAATTCAATGTATTTTATTTTATTTACATATTAATTTTGTTAAATAAGTTGCATCAAATGATTGATGTTAATATATTGTAAGCTAGGTGAAATAGGGACGCATTGTATATTGTTTTTTCCTTTTTTTTATCTTCGAAGCAATGCAATACATCCTGTCTTGTAATTTAATTAACTTAATTATATTAAACTTCGTAATTTTATTTCAATTGAAATTACGAATTACATTGTAATTTAATTAACTTAATTACATAAAACTTCGTAATTTTATTTCAATTGAAATTACGAATTACATTGTAATTTAATTAAATAAAAGACTGCATTACGCATTACAATGTAATTGGATTACGACATAATTTGAATCACTTTGTATTTACAATTCCTATACATTAATTCAATTGTAATTCTACACAACTCTGTCCGCGGGTCGGACCTCTTTGTCCGACGTATGCTGAGCTACTGTTTCGGCGCATTCTAGAGTGATTTTTATTGTTGCGTCCTCTGCCCTTTCCAAGGTCAGACGACGGGTAGTATCAATTACATGCAATTTTAATAAATTGGGAATTGCTACAATGAATGTACAAAACTTCAAATGTAGAACGTAGCATTTCTTTAATAAAAAAATACTATAATAAATATGTTAATTGAATTCAAATTCTACTATAGTGCATATAATTATCAACTTATGACTTTTCGATCCATTCAGATTTCTATCAGAATAATGTCAAATACAAGTGAAGAACCACCACAGAAAAGGCAGAAAGTAGATAATTCGAAATGTATTTTATGTAAAATATATCTTCGGAAAGTCACAGGAGAGAAGAAAAAAATTATCATGTCTCGTGAAGAAGCTACACATGTGTATGATATGTATAAAATATTTGTTCAGGTAAAATCTTACTAAATACCTCTACAAATCTTGAGATGCTCATTAAATAATTACAATTTATGTCTAGGTAGGAGAAGTATTGTGTTCAAAATGTTATGCAAAATTAAGAGCTAAGAAAAGTAAGGAAAATGCCCAGAAACCAAGCACATCAACGATAGACGAGTCAAAAATGCTCGCAATTGCAGTAACACCTCCAACAGAAAAGACTGAAATGCTTGAGAAAAAAAATGATATTGATGAAACGTGGAGTCAAGCTAGTACGATTACTTCATCTGATCAGTATTCGCAATTTAATACGAGTGACTCAAGTTTTATTATAGATGACAAACCCGCAAATATAGATACAGTTGTAATGCCATTCAGAAGAGTTCTTATCAGCCATACCTACTGTTTCATTTGTAAATCAACTAACGATCTTCGAGACGTACCCTTTTCTGCAAGAATTCAAGTTTTTACAGAAAAAAAAATTTTTATACCTAAAAGAAACAGGTGTTGTCTGAAGCATCTCATAAAAAATCGATTTTATGAAGACTAACTTGATATAATGCAGGTATACTCTAATGAATCTTCGGTACGAATAACAGAACTATCAACTTTTATGGAAAAATTGGCAGATAGTCATGATCAACTCCACGGTTATATTGGAAATTACGCTATTTCAGAAGATCGCATTAAAGCCCTATCGGGGTATTGCTGGGCCGAAATAAATATCATAAGTAATATGCTCATCAGCATAAAAAAATCCGAAAATCGAAATAAAGTTCAAGCAGTCGTTGTTTTTTTATATAAATTGAGATCTGGTTTATCAAATCAATTAATTTCTGCTGCATTAGGCGTTCAGGAAAGTGTAGTTACGGCTTCAGTGAATTCAGTTTTAAAAAGTTTCGAAAAAGATGTGTTACCTACACGTTTTGGATTAAAAGCGTTTTCTAGACAGGAATTTATAAGTCAAACTAGTCTTATCGCAAAAAAATTGCACAACATTGATAACAATTTGGCCATAATATGCGACGGAACATATGTGAGACATCAAAAAAGTGCAAATAATTCTTATCAAAGAAAATCATATTCCGGACAAAAAAAACCGCATTATGTAAACCATTCACGATATGCACAACAAATGGATTTATAGTCGATATATGTGGACCATTTAATGCTACACAGAACGATGCGCAGATTTTACAATATCTACTACAACAACCAGATGGCTTGAGCGAATTATTGGAAAGAGATGATATTTTTATTCTAGATCGTGGATTTCGAGACGTACGAGCTATTTTAGAAGAAAAGGGCTTTAAAGTATTGATGCCTGCATTAAAAGGGAAGAAAAACCAATTAACAACTGCAGAATCAAATCAATCTCGACTAGTAACTAAAGTACGATGGGTTGTTGAAGCTATTCACGGCATCATTGGACAAAAATATAAATTACTGCACAATCAGTTTCAGAACACCAGTTTACCAAATCTAAGCCTTTATTGTAAAATTGTATGTTTTCTACAAAATACTTTTGGTAAAAGATTGAATTCAGATGAAGGTACGTTCGATCACATAATAGATAGGCTACATGCATCTCAAACTACTGTAAATTCTCTAGCTGTAGAAGTAGAAGAGAAAAATTGGAATAGAAAATTCAGACCATTTATCCAAATGTCATCAAACGATTTATTTGATTTTCCCGAGATGACATTAGAAGATTTAAAACTATTTTTTACGGGATCATATCAAATGAAACAAGCGATTTCATATTTAGCGGAGATGATGGGGGAAGATGATTCGCTTAGAATTAATTATGTGAAAGATATACCTATAATATTATCAAATTCGAAGTAAAGTCACGACACGTTAATAATAAAACGTACAAATGTTACGTGCATTATGAACCAAATACTGCAGGCATAAACGATATAAAACGTTACTGTTGTAACTGCGCGAATGGAAACAGAACAGTCGGTTGTTGTTCACACGTTGCTTCGCTAATTTATTATTTATCGAACGCAAGGTATTCTTCCAGAATCGTAAGACCGGCGTCAAAATTGCAGTCACTTTTTGACTGTGATGAAATTACAGTAATTAACGAAGATAGCGATGATGATTAAATCATAAAATATAATTATATAATAATGTATCGGATATTAAATTATGTTTAATTATAATAATAATTGTTAAATTAAAATTAACATAGTATTATGGAACGAGACATTATATTATTTTACTGCATATTGTAAACTACAACCGTTTGAATCCCCATCGAGATTAGTTTCCAAACAATTATATGTTGCATAGCTAAGAAGTAGGACTTATCGAGGTAGCAAAGAAACAATTTTTTCATTTTTTTTTAAACTAAAAAATACTAGAACCTTTTAACTTTTTATATTAAGTTTTTGAATAAAAATAGACGCGTAAGATTGGAAAATTCAGTACTTTGAGCATGCTGTCATAAATCGATGAAATATTTTTGTAAATATGAAATAATTCTTAGATTTGTATCGTATTTCAATATACATACAATGTACAGTGATGTATTTTCAGATCTATTAAGGAGTAATAAGGAAAGACCCGCATATATGGTTTGCATGATACTAGTCGAAATAATGAGTTTTAATTGGTCTGATAATATGCAGACGTATTTTTCTATATCCCATATATATCTGAGTGAGTTAAACGCTTATCACATTCACTGAATTGAAATATAAAACACAAAGGCAAAAAATAATATCGATTATAGTGATTAGATTATATGTAATATTTATATATTATACATATATAAAAATAAAAAATATAAAAAAATAAAAAATCACGCAATAAAAGACGTTAAAAAATGTGAAAAAATTCAGATACAGTTCTTTGCATGTTGTCTATATGTTAGATATTTTTGCCGATTTTTATAATACATCGGGCCAGAATATAGGGAAAAATATGCTAAAAAACACCTTTTTTTTCATTTTTGACAATGTCACTTCATTTTTGATAATGTCGCACCATTTATAATAAGAAAATATATATATGATCACTTAAAGTATCTAAAATTACAACTTTTAATGAAAAAAAAATCTGGTGTACCGTCTTCGACCTAAGAGTTACAGACATTTTAAAATTTTTCAATTTTTTTTTTACTATGAAATTGTGCAAATTAAATTTGAAAAAATTTGAGCACATTCTCTATATCTTGAAGTTTAAGTATGAATTTTTTCAAATGTTTACAAGATACTGTTATTAAGAAATAAATTAAAATGTAAAAAATGTGGTTTTTTGGGCCCCCCGGAGGCGGGAGGGGGACGGGCGGACGGTAAAATGATGCAAACTTACTTTTTCCGGCATAGAAACATATTTGCAACATTATTTTCCAAAAAGCGTTCCAGTGACATTTCACCTATTATAATGCGAAATACCCTTTGTAAATTATGCTATGTTTTTCCATAAATTCAAATTGTTTTATTATAATGTTTATTGCTTACAGATCCAAACTTTTTTACGACATATTTTACTGAAAATATGTCCTCACAAGAAGCAATAAACGTTTCAGAAGAAAAAGGTATAATATTTACAACTGATTTTAAGAAGCTTTTTAAGTATATTACATATACTTATTTAATCCCCTTATTTGTTAATTTTATTTATTTTTATTTTCAGTTTCAGTATTTACGTGGACAAAGCAAGCAACGAAATTGTTCTTGCAAGCATATTTTGAGAGAAAAGAGCAGTTCCGCGATCCCAAAGTACGGAAGAAGAGTTTATGGACACAAATATGTAACGTAATGTCAAATAAAGGTTACAATGTAGATGAAGATACAGTAGACAGAAAGATGCGCAATTTGAAAAAGACATATCGTACAATAAAGGATAATAATAAGAAAAGTAGCACTGGACGAGGTCGCATACATTGGGATTATTATGATACTTTTGAAGAGATATTTAGAAATGATGCAACTATAAATCATGGACCATCATTATCTTCAATGCCATCCACATCAATAAATACAAAATCAATTCCATCCACATCAGAAGTTACAAATTCAGTGCCATCCACGTCAAGAGTTACAAATTCAGTGCCATCCACGTCAAGAGTTACAAATTCAGTGCCATCCACGTCAAGAGTTACAAATTCAATGCCATCCACGTCAAGAGTTACAAATTCAGTGCCATCCACGTCAAGAGTTACATATTCAGTGCCATTCACGTCATTAGATGCAAATTCAATGCCATCAAATGAAAACTCGTCATTCATATCAAATAAAGAAATAAAGTTTTTTGAAACTAATGATCAGGTAACCTTAGCTTTATTATAATCATTATGATCCGTATTCAGAACGCGTTTTTATTGATAAAAGCACGCTTTTACCTCTGAAATTCTATAGTATGCGTAACGTAAACTATAGCATGTTAGAGTGTTAACATCGTTATAAGCGCATTCTGAATACGGATCTATTGTTTCGAAACTAGCAATGAAATAAATATAAGAGGTTTTCATGTTTCAGATAATAAATCCAACGCAAAATAAGATGTCATCTGCAGTCATTGGACTATCATCATCAGAGTCACGATCGCCAAGTTCTGATAAAGAAAATAAAAGATGTAGGATGAAGACGCTATCGTTAATGCGAAAAAAACAACTTGATGTAGAAAACAGTAAAATAGAAGAAATCAAGAGACTAAAAGAGGTGATGGATAATAGTAATAAATTACAAAAAGAAAATAACAGTATACTTAAAGAACAAAATGATTTATTAAAAAATATTCTCTTGGAAATGAAGCAAAAGAAGAAAGAAAAAGAAGAATAATAGTATTTGGTATTATGACTGATTAAATATCAAGTTTTACTATTTATATATTGCTTTTTAAGTATGTTAAAACATAATTGATTTGTTATGCAGGTACTAAAGTTTTTTATATTTCTATTATTGAAACGTTAATTTAGTTTCTAAAAATATTCTTTTAGTTCCGTGCTAAGAGTGTACTAAAAAGTATTCTCCAATTTGTACCTGATTACATTTATTTCTGATTACTGCATATTTTACAAGAAGAAAATTATAATACACTTTAAGAACAAAAGGCTTTATTAAAAGATATATTCCTTTTTAAATGAAACATAAGTAATATAAGAAAAGTTTGTCATATTGATTGCTATTGATATGTTGCTTTATATCTATGTCAAAACATTTTGATGTTATAAGATAACAAAAAAAATATATTTTTATCTCTGTTATTGATATGTTAATTTAGTTTTGTCTTAAGGATATATTATAAAATACTGATTCGTACCTGAAAACAAAAATTTTTTTTCATCTGTCATAATGATGTTAAAATGTTAAGTTCTACTACTCCATTATTAAAAAAAAAATTGATTTGAATGTGAAAATTTTTTTACTATCTCTAGTATTTAAATGATTTAAGTTCTATTATTGTAAAAGCAACTTAAGGTATATTAATTCATATGCAAAGTATTTTCGTTGGATGCAATATAGTACAACATGTGATATAAAGATAGATATAAGTTTTACAATAAAAGAGCTTATACATTAAGTGTACAGTTAATTATTTCGTATTAATGATTCCGCTATTCTATTCCTTTTTATTATCGCTTCATTATTATCTGCTAGTTCTCTTTCCACTGCTACTTCTTCTTGTTCTTCCTCTAACAGTTCTTCATCACTTTCATAATTAGTTTCGTTATGATCTATTAAAAAGTTATGTAGAACACAGGCTGTTGCGATCATTTTATTTCCAAAATTAAAATCAGCAATATCAAAATACTTTAGCCTGCGAAATTTCCCCTTTAAAAAAGAATATCCTCGCTCTATCATTGATCCTATAGTAGACAGGTTAGTATTATATATTATTTGAGTTCTAGTAAGATGGCCTGTGTCCCGATAAGGTGTTAATAAGTTCACTAGTAATGGATACGCTGCATCGCCAATAATATGACGATCAGGTGGTAATAAATGATGTTTTAACCTTTGAAAAATTTCACTCTGTCTAAATACACGTGCATCGTGCATGCGTCCCGGTAATCCTACAAATATGTCTATAAAGCGTCCTTTATCACAGATACCTGTTTTTAAAAGAAAACAAAATTATAGTAATATTGTAAAATATTATATATCATAAAAGCAAAATTGAATTACAAAAATTAAATCTTAATAAAAAATATTTCTATAATACCTTGTAGGATAATAGAGTGAAAACTTCCGATTGTAGAAATCATTAGGATTGTCTATAGGAGCTTTGCATGGTATATGGCACTCATCAATAATCCCTACTACACCTAGTATACCATGAGAACGTCTCTTAAATACCTGTGATAATTTTAGATAATTCAATATACATATATTAAAACAATTTAATGTATGTATACAAACAACTTACCGTTGAAATTATCTCGTACATTCTTGCATCCGGCCATCTCACATAATTTGGTAATAAATCAACTAATATATTTGTAATTTCTTTTACTATACCGTGAGCAGTACTTTTTGCCAAATTAAACCGATCTCCAGCAGCCAGATAACTTTCTTGCTTTGCCAGAATCCATATTGTAAACATTACTTTTTTTCTTAAATCTACAGGATTATTATGATTTGAGTGCATGTCCAATTATGTGTACTAAATTCTATTCAAAATGAAGCAAAGCAAAAATTAGTACATCATTAACTTTTTAATAAATATTTAATTGATACAGTACAATATTTGGATTTTTGTATCCCTCAAACGTGAATCTAGACATTCTAAAATGTTCTTTAAATACATAATCGTTGTACCGTGGTACAATTACTTCATAATAATTTTCATTCTTTGATCATATTCTACGTTCATTTTGTAACAAATTATTTCGAAATGGTTCGTTCAATTCATTTGCTATGAAGTTTATGATATTTTTGTGTAATTCTATATCTCTCACATCACACGCATTGTCGGCAGCAATTAATGTCAAATGTAATAAATCCATGTTCACCGAATAAACAATACGAACGACGAAAAATGACAAATAATAACCTAAATAAAGCCACACCACGGTAAACAGATGATATAAGTCACGTGACTTAAGAGAAAGAATCGTTCAGCAATTGGTAACCGCTCACTCAACGGTTGTCGCAACAAGTTGTGCAACCGTTGCGCTTGCTGAACGTAGCCAAATGTTGCCATCGCTGATTATCACAGCCGTCACGTGTGGTTGATCACATTCGAATGTGCAACGCTGCCATCGCTAGGTTAAGTCAAAAGCCCTCTAGTGTCGAAAAAACGAGAAAGACATTTTCTCCTGGTCGATGATGTGGACGACGATAATGATGACGTTTCTTAATATAAAAGTTTCACATTCGTATTTTGCGTCGCAATATCTCCGCTCGTAAAGCACGTAGAGAAAAAATAAAACACTTTCATTATATATCCCGACCGGTTGCAGTCGATTGAGCACACTTAGAACTTGATCGGTTCAGCCGTTATTGAGATCCGATAATATCATACTGCCGCAATTCGTCGGCTCGCGTAAAGTAGCCACGGTAGTGGTGCTGCGCGTAGCTTAGCGCCGAGACACTACCAGTGTCTCCAGATATACAATAATTAGACGATTCGGTCTTAATTAGATCTTCTTCAGTAATATAATCATTCACATAAATAAAGTTTAAAATTAAAATGAAAATAAAATTATTACGTATATATGTTAGATAATAAAGCATTTTTCTAGTGTTAATATTATTATAATTAACGCTTATTAATTGACAAACGATGTCAGCTGTCATTATTTTCACTTTGGTAATTTTGTTATTATTGATGATGCATTCTGTTCAATAACCACGGTATTATTTAACAATCCTGATTATTGAATCGAGTCCGAGTAGTAATTGAATTTCTCAATTTCGTACTACACAAAAGTTCCAAATTCTATTAAATAATATATTACTTTAAGCAAGAATGAGCGAAGCTAGTTAATTATCTCAATTTTAAAATATATGGTTATATAATTTTATTTAAATTCAATTCTCACTAAATAATAAGTGTAGTATTAAGAATTTTTAGAGTGAATTAAAGTATACATATATATAAATTCATTTTTAATTCTTAAATTTAATTTTTAGAAGATACAATTATATAAATTTGAATTTAACTCTTACTAATTATTAAGTCTAGTATTAACAATTTTTCGAGTGAATTATTATTAATGACTATATTATCATTATATTTTTAATTATTACAGATTCCTGTTTTAGGTTGAGATGAGAGTAATCCAGTACTGGAAATGTAATGTGATCAAAACCAATGGTGAAAACATTCTGTCTATTCCTCTACTTATCTGACAGTTTATATACATACTTTAAGAACCGATAGAAAGTTCTAGAGTTTCCGTAGAGGACAGTATATTCAGTAACAGATAATATATTTCTTATCTTTAAATATGTTATATTAATTGTGCTGAAAATTAAGTTCAAAGGATTTCTATATTCATTTTATGAGATTCAGGATATGACAAAAGAATAACTCTATCCAGTTGACTAATTATAACACCTCTTTTGTGTTCAACATGATGATTCGAAGAAAAGTTCAGGTAACGTCAAGAGTTTGTCGGTTTTTTGCAGTTGTCAAATCTAATTCGTACTAACAATAATTTAATCGAAAAATTGTTAATACTAGATTTAATAATTAGTGAGTGTTAAATTCAAATTTATATAATTGTATATTATAAAAAATATGTAATAAAAGATAAATAATATTTAAACTTTATTGATGTGAATGATTATATTATTGAAGAAGGAATCTAATTAAGACCGAAACGTCTAATTATTATATGTTTCTAAATACAGAATTTTTAAGCTACTTACAACCAGTGTTCGTGGTACATGCCTTGTTGTATCAGGAGACGCGGTAGTGGCTCCGGCCATGTTAAAAAAAAAGAGACACTACAAGTCTCTTATTCCGAGCCACAAAAGTCCATTTTTGGAGGTTGCATAACTACTAAAATATAAAAAATTTTGAATTGCATGTTTTATATCCTGAAAGGCCGCATCGCCACGAGTAATTTGAGCTAAAAAAATTTTTAATCGGTCAAGCCGTTCTGTACATACGAGTGGTTGAAAAATGATGATTTTCATGAAAAATGAAGTAACGTCTTCTTTTTCTTCTTCTTCTTCTTCTTCTTCTCCTTTTTTGTCCGCAGTCATATGCACCTCTCTTGTCTCTCACCCTTCACTCACACCTCCACCAACTTCGACCCACTCCATCCTCTCACCCCATCCCTTCTCCTCCCCCACCTCCCCCCCCCTTTTCCACTCTATCTCGCTTTCTTTTGTCCTCTCTCACCCTTTGGTCATCTCTCACCATCGCCTGCTGAAAGTGTCCGATGGTCACTCAGGGTTGTGACCTTGACATTGTGAGTAAAGGGCAAACGAATTTTTTTTTATATAATAACATTGTAAAGCATGATGGGTGACTGCTACAATCTTCCGAAAGTTGTTCAGTGTGATGACCTTCATAATGTGAGGGAGGGTCAAGGTCATCGGAGGTCAACTGTTCATTTTCATTTTAATATCTTCCCAATGGGCAACGGTCGCCTTCTGAAAGTGTCCGATGGACACTCAGGGTCATGACCTTGACATTGTGAGTCAGGGTCAGTATTGTCGGAGTCGAATTCCCTACTGCTGCAACGTTCCGATGGTTATTCAGTGTGATGACCTTTGTAAAGCGTGGGAAGATCGAGATCATCGGAGGTAAATTTTAATTTTAATCTCTTCTTATAAGGGTTTCATCTTTGCCGGCCGTAAAATTAACTCGTTTTCATGAATTTTTT